TGAGAGTCCTGAGAATCTGATCTGAACCGGCGGCAGGGTTCTTCCCCTGCCCCCGTGTTGCTGCTCATTAATTTCGTCTATTTAGGAAAAGTTTTTGCTGCCTGCGTTGGTGTTGCCTAGAACTTTTTTAAGTGGTTTGCGGTTTATCATTTTTGGTTTTGCAAGGAGCGAAAATGCAGCTGGCCTTAGTGCGCTTTTCCTTCGGCTTTTTTTTTTGTGTTTTTACTTTTTTAGTTTTATTTTCTGCCGCAAACAAAACTGTGCGCAAACAGGAAATAACGGTAACGCTGCTTCATTTCCGCTTTTATTAAAACATACTTTTCACGTTGTACCTTATCCTGCTGCTGGTTGGTCCTTCTGCTACTGCCCCAACCGCCCTCTCTCTTTCTTTAATACTCCCGACTGTCTTACCGCTGTTTGCTGCGGGCATCTTACTACCCTTCCTCGGGAAATGGCTTGGTCGAAAAGGGTTAACTTATGCATTTGCATACTGCGATTTTTCAGAGTTTTCTGATTAATGCCTAAGACTCGATGGGATTAACAATTATCTGTTCTTAAAAATTTATCCAGAAGAGAAAATTTTCATATTTGTTTTCTGACATATTTTTAAGTTTACTAAAATAACATTCTTCTTGCATTGCTTTAAGTTAATGGAATGATTGCTAAAACCTAAAAACTTTAAAAATTATTATAAAATATACTTAAACTCAACAAAACTGAAAGATTTCCTTTTCAAGAGGGAGACCTTTGACCCAGTTTTCCTCTCATAATGCACCCCATTTTCTATAAATTTCCTCCTCAATTAGATCGCCGCGTTTCACCTGCGAGTGTATTAACTATTCATCGTGGCCAAGAAAAGTTTGTTCCCTAGTGTTTTATCTGTTTTCGTTGTTGTTGTTGCAGCTTTTTCGCCGCCCTCTATTTTCCACCACCCCCTCGAAATGCAGCTTGTCACTTCCGCCAGCCAGCCGCCCGCAGTTTTCTGCGATGGAAACTTGTGCCCAGAGTTTTGGGTTATACTCCACTATCTGTGCGATTTTTTTTTTCTATTTTCTGCGGCTGGCGCTTTAAAAGCAGTCGGCGGATGCACTGAACCATCTTTTAGAGGTGGGCGGTGTTTTTGTAACAGGGGGCGGGCCGTTTTCCACGAGGGTTTTCAGTGCATGCAAACGGCTGAACCCGAACCGCAGCTAGTTGAAAGTAGCCAAAGGTAATTAATTTTGCAGCTACAAGTTGAGGGTCCAACTGCAGAACTTAGTCGCCGGTGGATTCGGGCTTCTGCATCCTGGATTCCGAATTCTGGTTAGACGACCGCAAGCTTTTGACAGTCCGCGCTCTCTTAGTAAATGGATTTCCCATTTTCCATTTACTTTAGTTTCCCCCTCGGAATGAGTGGCAACATTTCCTCAAAATGCATCTGCGATTTCGTTCGTTTTTTTTGTTCCATTCCACCAGGTGGATCTGTGCGTGTGTCTATTAATTTTCTTGGATGCAACAGCAGCGAAAACCAGCCACGTGCCACGCCCCTCAAGGGCGTTGACAAACGGGCGGTGATAAATTGTTCAGGGGAGTATTCAAGGATGTACCAGATGAATCTGCACTGTGAGTATTCTTAGTTTAGCAACCCAAGAAGACTTCATTGGAAATGTATTTTTGGTCTTTTTAATGTTTGGTAAAATTTCAAAAATAACCCTTTTAGAGAGTGATTAATGACTATTATATGATATAAAGATAGGTTTCTCAGCATTTTTTTCAGTGTTCCCTGCTTTTCTGCTTCAGTTACCCCTAACAACGAGTCTAATGGAGCATTTGTTTTGGCTGCGTTGATTTTGCATTTTGGGCAAAAGAGAGAGAGAAAAGGCGCTCAAAGTCATTTTGTAAATGCTGCAGGTTGTTTGAATTATAAATTTGATTTTAAAGAGCCCTTCGCCAGACGCCCTCGAGAAGTAGACAAATTAAATTGCTTCACTGCTCCAGTTGCTAGTCCGACCAAGGTCTTAACCAGTTCACTTCATCCGATCTGAACCTGGTAACCTCCTCGTGCTCAAGGTGCAAGAGGCCGTGTCAAAGGAGCAAGCCTTTGGGGGGTAACAGGACGCGTTAAAGTCAAAAGTTGCCAAGACCATCAAGTGTTGCCATGTACACAGTACACACAAATGAAACGAAACGAAGTTATCAAGAAACAGGGCACAAAGCCATTACGATTGTCCGACTGTCTGTCTGTCTTTTTGTCTCGAAAGCGACAAGTGTTTGGGTCCCCTTGAGCTGTCTGCACTGCACTGAGCTGGTAAAAGGAAAAGGAAAAACTCCATTCTTGGCCTGGCCACAGGTCCCCTGTCTTGGCCAAATGAAATCCAAGTGCGTGCGAGGCAGACAACGGAGACAAGACTATTTGGGAGCCCTCTAAGCCCGTCCGGGCCAATGTCAGAAGTTAAAACGCAATAACAAAGGCTGGCCGAAGGAAAGTGGAAAATATCTAATCAAAGACGGCCTGTCGAGCTGCTCTAGAACTCGAAGGCCAAAGCCGGCGAAGCCCTAGAATTGTTTTGCAATCGTTGAGTTCCTTCTGAGGACATTATCTGGGTGGATAACACGACCCTCCTCCAAAGGAACTGCCGGATTTCATGGATCCCTGAACTCCAGCTAAGCCGCACTGCAAGGCTTCATAATTTTCACCGCATGTGGTCGAGTTGCAGAGTTCTTTGGTTACTTTCCTTAAGATGAAAATTCAATTCAAATACAGTCTAAGAATTTCTTTAAAGAAAGTTATTAGGGAAAAGTATACCTCCATTTAGGAAGATAAAACACTGAAAATACTAAAGTTGAATGATGATAAATAGAAACATAAACTTTAAATTCTTATGTCAGCTAATGATTTTCTTCGAGTGCCGGGATTTGGCTTTGATTATGCCTCCCATTTGCGGCTGTTTTGCGGCAAATATTCGGGGGTAATTAATCAACTGCCACGCGCATTGGCCACGCCCTCCCGGAATCGGCAGAATTCTATTAGGCTTGGGCCTAACGGCAGAGAGCAAAGCAGATGGGTCTTGGCCTTGGCCAAAGTTGCTGCCTAAGCCGCTGCAAATCCCCAGAAAGCTCCGCCCGTCTGCACCTGCCAGGTTACCTTCGCACATCCCAAACAAAAATGGAAAAGAACGTGGAAAATTCGGAAATTACTGAGTTATGCCAGCTGTCGCAAAAATCCAGAGTTATATTTTCGCTCTCGCTGAAAGCAGCTTATATATATATATATCCATATACCTGCTCCCCGGGAGACAGGCAAATCCATACGGGAGAGTGCCATCGTATTTTCGTTTTTATCGAATCTGATTTTATTCCGTTTCCGGCCAATCCCGCACCACGCCGGCAAAGGATTTTCCGCTGAATTTTATGCTAATTATACCGCTAAGCTCTTGGGCAACTTTCAAAAGAGTTTCGAGTCTTAGCGCGCCTTAAAAAACTTCCATCGCCAGCGACGAGCGCAATATTTGGCCAAGACATCTCGGCTGCGCGCTTATGCAAACAGATTTGCGCTGACTGCAGGAAATTAAATCCCCCATCCCTATCTCAAATTTACTTCGATAAATTCGCACACGTTGGAGTTTTTTATCCCGATTTTAGCCAGATTTATTTATGACCGACTGCTTATAATTTACGTTCCGCCGACTTCAGCCGGCCGGCGTCTATGGCATCAACACTTCCGCCAGCGGCGGCGGCGGCGGCGGCGGCGTCTGGTGATACCAACTGAAACGCTGCCACCGGAAATCCACGTGGCGGTCCAGGAATCGAAGGATATAACAATGGAGAAGCAGAAGAAAAAGGATACGGCATGGGGGCGCCTGCTTGCCGGTTATTGCAACCATTTGATACCCGTCTATCAGTCGTTAGAGGCAATTATTTTTGTATTTTCTAATATAATGAGGTATAGGCAACAAGGGATATCCTTAAAGGAAGAAGGACAAGAAATAAGCTTAAATTGTATGAACATCAAAGAAATCAGAGATTAATTATAGGTCCTTTAGTCCAACGATACATTCCTTTCTTTGTTTAACATATTCTTTGCCTGTTACAGTGATGAAATGTTTTCCTTAATTAAAACAATTTCCTTTAACAAACATTACCCACATATTCCTTAAAACCAACTAAAGATATGCTAAAAATATTTTAAAAGAATTTTCTTAGCAATAATATACCCCGAAAGAGCTCTCAAGTAAGGGGTATGAGAAAAGGGGAAAAGACCGAAATAGAAAGGACATGCCTGGGCAGTTTTTGTTGCTGACTGAGCAGCATATGGCAAAAGTTTAAGTAAGCAATATTTATTTTGTATTTCTATTTGTTTGGGCGAGTATTCTTCCATTTCAATACAGTTCGCACACCGACTGCGGTCTGCAGCGGATTTCGAGCTGGCGAGGAAAAGCCAGATGGAAAATGATGCCAGGGAACGGGTGAGAAAAATATGAAAAATTGCAACATATTTTCCTTAGCCTCTGGTCGGAGTTAAACTTTTATTTGTTTGCTTCATTGCATGGTGGAGGCATTTTGTGGTTGAGCGAATCTCAAAGTTGCTTTGCTTTGCCCTCGCATCCATGAAAAATTTGAGAGGAGGATGAAAAACTAAAAGTGCACACAAAGGCGAATTTGTTTCTGACGCTGCTGCATCTGCATCGGCATCGGCATCTCCATCTGGATCTGGATCTCCATCTGCATCTGCATCTTGTATTGCATATGATATGCGATATACACAATATATAACTTGGTTTTTTGGGGGGGTTGGTCACTTGTCTGGCATGTCAATAAGCCGTAATATTTGGAATTTTGCGGTTGTGAGATATGTGAAAAATAGTTGGTCGATCGACTTATTGACTTGTGGCCATCGCTCGGATGCCTGACAGTTGGAATTCCCTCGGGGCAAGCACTATGCGGCATGCATCATTGATAATGTGGGGCATCCGGGGAATTTGCATTGCGTTTTTGCCCAGTGAAATGGAACTGGTACTCACCTCCTTCGTCGGTCATCACCAGAATGGTGGTCTCCGGTCCCAGGCCCTCGGGATTGAACACCTGCACCGTCACCTTGTACTGCGTGTATGTCTGCAGATTCTGTATCTCATGGCTCTGCAAGGGAAAGGGAACATTTTTGAGGAAATCAGTGAAATTTCGTTTGTAATTTTTTAAACACAAGAAGAAAATATTTTTACTCGGTTTTTAAAATATTTTAATGGAATTTCTTTGTGTTTTAGAAACCAGAACTAGTTTATAAATTTTGGAATTTTTCGATCTTTCCATACATTCATTTTTCCGTGTCTGTTATCAGGTTTTTCCATGATTTTTATGAAAGAATTCTCAATTAAGGACCAATTTCTGTGTTTTTTTTTTGGCTGTGCACGTACACCAAAGGACTTTTCATTTGTTGGCCGTTGAAGGCGCATAACAAAATAAAGTGGAGCACTTGCAGCAAGTGCCTCCGCAGCAGCAGCAGTTGCAGCACCACCCCCTTAACCACCCAATCCCTCCCTTCACCTCTCTCTGCCCATCAGTATTGTGCATGCTTGGAGCGGAAATTGCGCGTTGCATACTTTTGTGCGTTGCCGTTGGCAAATATGAAAATTGCAGCACTTAAAATTGATTTGCAGTGCTGGGATGTCGGTGCAAAAGGAAATTGAGTTGCTTGGGCAACGAGGAGTAGTCTTTGCCTTAATTGCCACAGCATATACATCCGTGCACAGGGAAAATATAGAATGAAATAAAACAAGAAACAATCACGCGCATTTCTCTTTATACATCACATATCCTTTTGATTTTTATGCGTGTAGACCAAGGACTAGTCATAAGTGAGTCCGTTCCGCTGGCTTTGTCCATGATTTTCGCGAGGCGCTGATTAAGGTTTTAACCAAAGGTCAAAAGCACTGCCAAACCATAAAACAAGCCGCAGACTTAGAGTGGTTCACTGCCTAAAGCACCACATATGTATAAGTGTGTGTATGTGTGTGTGTGTGAGAGTGTACTTCGCAAATGGTCAGCTGCCTTGGGCAAATTATGTAGTATACATTAGAGCGCCGCCTGCCTGAATTTGCCTGCTGGTGCGATTGTATGCGTGTGGTATGTGTGCTTAGCTGTATCTGTGTACGTCTGCGGTTCTACCGCAAAACCAACGGGTTTTCGACTGTGCGAACTTTAGGCTTGTGCTTAGCAGCGGATTGACTGCCATGCCAACAGCTTAAGTGGCTGCTTTTGGCTGTTCAGACGGCGCCAGCCTCTATCGCAGTTATTTCCACCAAAAGCGTGATATCTTTCTCGGCCGGCAGACTTTTACAGCTGCGGTCAAAGTGATAGTGCAAGGATTTGTTTATATTTATGATAAATTTGCTCAACACTTTACTTTCCTAGGTTGGTTCATGTGGTAAATATTAGTTATAAGAACTTCTTTTATGAGGTTTTAATGTGTGTTTTTCTTGACAAAGAACTTTCATAAAATAGTTCATCGAACACTAATATTGCCACCCCAACTGTATTTCTAGTTGCGTACATAAGACAGAGAGCTTGGATTTAGTGTTTCTATATGGTGGGCGGTCATATAATTCCATTTTATTTAGTCGCCAGTAAATGAGGCCGAAAATTTACAACTGCTTTTATTTTTATGGTCAGGCGAAAGTTGGTACCGCCCGAGGGCGGGCCACGTAATTGATATAATGTAATTGATAAAGTTGCCAACTTCCGGCCATATTGCATAACTTTCGAAAGTGTGAAGCTGGGCAGGGGGATAAGCATCTAAATATTCTCGCCCCTTCTGCGTTAATTAGTGCCAACTGGCGAACAAAGAAGGGATCTAGTTGGTAGCAAAAAGGAAACCACTTTTGCAACTACAAACAGATGCATATTTCGCCTGTCATAGAGTTCTCAATGCCTTTAACAAAAAACTCCACACTTTTCCCTAAACTGAAGTTGCTTTTATATCTGCTGGACTGTTATATTTTTTCCTGTTCATCAACAATATCAGTGTCGGACTACGCTTTTTCGCCTCTGCATTTTTTTTATCCTGGCCAGAAACTTCCTTTGAGGTTTCGGGTGACTCGACTTTGCCGGCTTTTATCTGCGTGAAAGTTGCGAAATTTATGCTTTACGGCGCAGAAATTTTAATTAGAAAATTGGCAAATTTAGCCCTGCAGGCGAGCGCTGGAAAATCCAACGCCCACCGCCACCTTCCTCGCTTTTCCACCTCACACGTGACAGCTCAATGTGAATGCCGCTGGCCAACGGAGGCGGTGGAGAGAATGGGGGTGTGGCAGGTCGGCAGAAGCCGCAGGCTCCTGAATGCTGATGCTGCGATATGGGAATAACAGAAAGCCATGTCCTGGAGTCCACCAAAATGACTTGAGCAGAAAAAACACGTACACATCGGGAAAAAGAGAGTTTAAATTTTAAGTTTGGAAATGAAGAAGTTTAAAAGGGAAGTTTAAATATATAAATATTACGTCATCAAGATTGTTAAAATGTTATGATGACGGTAATGCTAGAAAGTAGTTCGGTAGTTCGACTACTAAAGCCAAGGACTTCTTACTTTCGAAAATGCGGAAAGTGATGCGAATATTTGTCATTGAATTTATTTATATATTTGACATTATAGTATATAGTATATTTCCGATTGAATCACATAAGAAAATAGACATTTTTCTCCGTGTCCTTTAGTCCTACGAAAAAAGAAGTCCAACTAAAGTCGCACGTTTCTGCCTGCAAGGATAATATTTCAACATGCCAGCGACATGCAAAAGAGAGAAAAATAGAGGACATGGAGACAGAGACGGGGAGCTGCGTCTAGATAAGGACAAAATATGCACTCGAGCACAAAAGCGTGCCACGCTCGTGGCAATCAAGCGTCCTCCTATTTCGAAACCCATCTCCCCTACAGCCACCTACTTCTATTTCTGCTTCTTTTTTGGGTTTTTTGAAAAGTCCGTCGCGCCGAGTGTCGTACGTGAGCATTATCGCTAATAATTTCTGCATATTTTAGCCAAACGCCTCGCAGCTGGCGAGTGCATCCGGAATGCAGCTGCAAATTCGGAAATGCATTCCCAGAGCTCGACTTTAGAATTTGGCTCAAAGAGCCCCGGAAATGGCCAGCGGTTCGGATTATGCCCGTGGGCTGACTAACAGTCTATCTAAAGTCAGGCGATTCTTGTCAAAAATCGTTTAGATTTAGTATCTAACAAGAAGGTGAAACTAGTTTAATATTATTTGAAAGCAAAAACCAAGAATTAGTTTTAGTTTGAGCTTAAATTAAAAGACTCAACACTGCCCAAAGAGGACTTAACAAGTTGACAGTTGGCCACTGCATAATTTACCGAACTAAAATTAAGCGTTTGGTTTGCTTTTGGCCAAACTTTCCTTTTATTGAAAGGTATTCCCAAGTTATTTGTATTGGGTCCGCCCCATTTTGTCCGAACATTCCCCCAATTGCCTAGTTCATTAGCCAACTTGCGTGCCCAACTAACCGAAGGATACAATGTAGACCCGCGGAGATGGAGGAACACACCCACTGTTTCGGGTTTTTGGCCTAGACAAGTAGCAACTGGCCCCAGCTGAGAACTAATCGTTAACAAATTGCCACTGATATGGCGGGGTCCCCAAACGAGATATGGCAACACCTTGACAGGTGGCCATGGCCAACGAAAAACACTTGTAACCCCTCACTCCTTGCAGGTGTGTGTGTGTGTGTGGGAAATGTTTTGCTTGTCTCCAGGTGTAAATTACTTTTTAATACGCCGCTGATGTGACTTTAAGCCGGCGAATGACAGGGTGCAAACTCGCACATTTTTCGACCAGCTTTAAGCCCGAACTCGAACGCTGGCATTCGCAATCGCAATGAAAATCCTCGAGTTTTTGTGGCAAAGAAAATGATATGCACGTGGCAAGGCAGACAGACACGAACCGAAACCAAAGCGAAATTGAATGACGCTGCAGGCGGAACACGAAATGTGGCCCCTCTATTGCGGCACTGTAAATAAATGGGTGGGCTTAAATGAAATAAAAAATCACTTAAAATAAAATATTTAAATGTAAATATAGTTTGTTTGAATTACATTTGACTCAACTTAAAGCTAATATTAATATAAAAAATAGTTAATAAATCGAATTCAAATTCTTCTCACTGCATTTCTACCCCTGGCTTTCGCTCACAATACAGCAAAGTGTCAGAAATCGTGAAATTCAATTATCTTTGGCCTGTACAACTAAATACGCCTCGGAACATATTCATGACTTACCTCGACGGTGTTGTCGCGGATATAGATTTCCTTGGTATCGTTGGGATCCCGATCGCGTGGTCGATATGTTATGCGGTAGCCGAGGAACTCGCCCAGTATAGTATCCGGCGGCGGGGCCTTCCATGAGATGTACACCGAGGTGGAGGACGTATTGTGGGCCGTTGTTGGTATAGGCTTGCCCGTGGGAGCTGTAAGAGATTAAGTTGGTTAATGAAGGAGCTAAGGCTAGGCCAGAAACTTTGGCTGGCAGAAAAGTTCCAGCGGAGGACTCAAAAATTCGAAATTAAAAACGCTGCGCCAAAGTTTCGCCCAAAAACTCTCTGACCTGTCATGTAAAGCGGAACGTTGTCTGTGGCATTGTCAAGTTGTCACTGTCACGCAACATAAGTTGCAAGTGCCACGGCCCGTTTTCCGGGATTGGGAGTGGGCTTCAGGGTCTCTGCGCCTACGTTTTTGGACCTCTTTCCTATTCGCAACCATCCCCTCTTTGGCCTTGTCTACGGGAATTACTCGCAGGTTAAATGATGCGTGTGTCGCCCAGGTACACTCAAAGAAAAAGTTCATCTCTTTAGGAAACTTCATTTGATATATTCTAGAACTGAAAAGCTTGTCCCATTGGGTTTGTTTTCTCCAGAAATGTCATATTTTCTCAGTGTAGCAGGTGTGCCCGGCTAAGGATGATCTGGCAGTTTGCCAGCAACGAAAGAAGGGCGAAATACCTCGCATACCTCAATGAATTTATAAATAAATTAAAAGATATTTTGTGTCTTTCGGCTTGACATTGATGCCGCGTCCAAAGTTTGCTTTGAAAATTGAAAACTTTTCGCTTTTCCGCTGCTTAGATTTAGGATTTGCTCAGTATCCCAGCGTTTCCCAGCCGAAAAGAGCCGGTATGTGTGTCGTTGGTTAATTTATGCATGCCGCAGGCTTAATTTATACAAATTGGCAACTCTGCCGGCGACCGCAGGACACCCTCACATACACATACATACATAGCTCTCTAGGAGGGCCAAAAGGTCCTTAATGAGCTCAGAAGACGAGGACACAGCAACACACTATTGACTAATTTGTAACCGCATGTGTTGCAGCTTCGGCAGCTTGGGTCGCATTCCATTGTGGGTGCGGCATAAATGGAATTTCACACCCAACCGAACAGCCTGCACTGAGAGAAATCTAAGAAAACTGGGTCATGGAGTCAAATTGTCTTTATGCTATCATAAAGAAAAGGAAAAACTATTTCTAAACTTCTTTATAAGTGCAGCTTATGCAACCATATATGAATTCTGACTTAGAAACTTTAAGAATCTCAACTATTATTTCTCCCTGTGCATTAGCAAAGTCATTTCCAATGTTCGTAAGACAAATGTGTTGCTAATAGCTTGTCGCTGTTGCCGCTGCTACTGCTACTTTGCCTTTGATTAATGTGTCTCGCGCTCTTAAAGCCTACGGAAAGTTTGTGACTTTTTGGAGTCCATTTATACATATGCGGGGGGCATATACTATTCTCGTACATATGTGGGACACGCACGGCCTTACGATTAATCATTGTCTGTGGCAGCAACAGCAGCAGCAGCAGCGGCAGCGGCAGGTGAAATGTCAGCCGAATGACACGGCTCTCTCAGGCATTCGCCACAAAATTAGTGCATCCAGCAGAACGGAACTCAAGGGTTAACCCATAGTTCGACTGTAGTTCCTCCAACTTCCAGGATGTGGAGTTCTAGGCTTTGTCATCGCATGTTAATGAAATGGAAGCTGCCTCTAAAATTTAAGTGTTCGTGGCATAGTGACACAAGAAGACAGTTGGGGGAAACCAAATAGGTCACCTCCTTAAAGAAGATCTGGAAAAAGTAAATAAAAATGGAAAACGTTTTCTGACTTAGCAAAGATCCTTAGCAACTTCAAGGGTTAGAAACTCGCTGATTTAAAGCAAGTGAAAAGTTTGTAATCACTGATTTAACTTATGAAACGGTAGCTATTCTGATGACCGCACTTGTAGCTTACTTTGGGTTACTGGCGGACGCAGTTAATGTCATTGCCAGCATGACGATGCGATGCGGGAGGAGTTTCCCAGCCAGAGGAGCCGAGGAGCTGAGGAGCTGAGGAGCCACATAAAATGACGACACACCTGGCCTAGCAGATCCTGGGGATGGCCTACCGTCAGCGGAAAAATAATTAAACGTATACAACGTGAGGAGACTTCGTCTTTATGAGGCCGTAATTGCTGGCAGTTGCGGAAAAGCTGGAAAGGTGGGTGAAAAACTGGGCGAGCCTGTGACAACTTTTCATTGACGGCACTTAAAAGTCAGGCCAAGTCGTTGGAATTGAAATGAAAAATTAATGCGATTGTAAAAATTGTTATGTCATGTGTCGCGTAATTTTGCCCACAGCTATACGTTACGTTATGTTATGTGAACCGCCTACGCGAATAGTTTATGATCCTGCCGCCAATAAAGTGTGTAAGGACCCAAAGAAAAAGGACTTACCCTCACGCAGCGTGACTATGTAGTATGACTCCTTGGACGGCGGACTGATTCCCAGCTTGTTGACCGCGAGGAGACGAAAGCTGTAGACGGTGAAGGGCGTCAGCCCGGTCACCTGATATGACGTAGCATTTGTCTTTGTGTAGATCCGGGCCAGTTGCTCCCAAATGCCGTCCTCGCCCTCTCTGAAAATGCCAGAATCAATCATCAAATTAGAAATTTTATAATAAAAAGAATATTTTTGAAGAATATAGAATGATTATTAAACCATCTTATTGAGAACTTAACAGACTTAACCTTACTTTTTCATAAAAATAATACTTAAAACCAAGAATTTCGTGATATTTAAAGTAAATCTTAGCTTAAACTCCATTGTATTTACCTTGCACCTTTAAACTGCGTCAATTTGGCAGTTTCAAAGGCTTATTATTGACCTCATTAATGTATAGTGGATGCTGATGAGTCATTCAGCGGGGGAAATTCAATGAACAATTAATCGAGCAAACTGGACGCGAGCAAACAAAACATTTTGAAACGGCCAAATTATTTGAACGAATCATTTCATTATTGTGCATTTATATTGCAATTACCAGCTCAATTGCCGCGCACAAGCACGTCCATATAAATAAGCCCAGAAATCTATATTTTACGTCTGCCATCTGCCAGCCAAATGAGTAATAAGGACAGAGCGAGAGCGAGATAGAGAGCGGTTCCAATATACATAAACCATGGGCATAAAATGCATTATGAAAATTTATATAAAACGGATGCGGATTTGCATGACACTTGCGGGTGGCTGCGCCCTTTTTGGGATCCGTTCCTGAAATGTGTGCCGCGCATAGGCACTAAAATATTTATGCCCCTTTTTGCCATACAAAAGTACACACTCCCACCTATGTATATACCCTATATACCCAACAACAACAACAACAAAAAGGACAATATATATATTCGTATTCCGCTGATATTGTTGTTGCTGCGCATATAAATTACTGGCAGCCGCTCGCACAATGAACATTTTTCATGGCACATTTCAAAGTGTAGTAAATTTTGGTTTAAACTCACATAATTTTAGCATATTTTTTGGCACATTCAGTTTTTCGGGGCCTCGTACATAAATTTTGCGAGCCGTCGTCTAAAGTTTGATTTTAATGGGGCTTACCGATTCGGTGCGGCTTTTATGGTGTGATTAAAAATTGTTTAAATATGAGCCGATGAAAAATGTTGAACATTTCATGAATGGCGACAACCAATAAATGGGAACCCCCCGAAAAAAAACGGCCACCGGAAATTGTGTCAAAAAAATGATTAAAATTAATAAATGCGTGCGAGCAGCTTCCGCGTTGAGTGGGGCACATCTGTTTGCGTTGCCAATGGGCATTTAGTGGGTGCATATATATAGTGCATATATCTATATATATCGAAGAATATCGGGGGCATCGGGACATTGGGACACATCGGTCCTCCGGACACGTTGCATTCGGTTAAAAAAAACATTGTTTGGCGACTTTATGAAGCATGGCAGGCCTGGACCTCCCATCAACTGGCCCGAATGAAAAACATATGAAAAATGTTCTGGACCTGGTCCTGAAACCCCGACCGAACAAAGAACAAAAAATTGGGGGAGAGATTCGCCGGCAAAGTAACCACAATGGCAAATAAATTTGCGGCCTTTCCACGGGCATGTATTGAATGCTTTTTGCTGTTATGCCACTGACGTTGTTTTTCTTCGCTGCTGGTAAGCTGCTTTAAAAATGTTTGCTTACTTTTTTCATATTAAGCAAATGAATATGAGTTATTTATGCATCTGGGAGAGTTTGTGTTTGTTTGCCCTCCCGGGGTGTATCGCTTCTACACGGCCGAGGGCTCTGGGCCAAGCCAGGTTCATGGACGAGTTGTTGAAACAGGACAATTTACTTGCCGCACGAGTCCTTAAAGATAATGGACAAATAGTGGTCGTAGCACTTGGCAGATAAGTCAGGAACTTGGTTAAAAAGCCACAATTTATGCCTGTATTTTTTGTGCTGAAGGCAGGACTGTTAAATATACATTTTATGGGGACAACACAAGAGTTGGAGACTTAAGAAGTATCAATAATATTTTTGTATTTTATGTAATAGTAGCGAAGTATTTTCCAGTAACTTAAAGAAGGAAACGTGAGGCTTAAATCTCCTGATTATTATTGAATGACTTAAGCAAACAAATACTTTATTTAACTTATTTTAAGCAGTGTTGTTTTTCGCTTGTTTCCATTACGATAACGTTTCCCATTCCCTTATAACTTTAAAGGTATTTTACATTATGATAAAGTAAACAAAAAATAGCCAGCGAATGGAAATGTTTTCATAAGCGTAAGATTTAATTAATTTTATTCGTGTAACCAATGCAAAAAGAAACTGAATAAACATCGAATCGAAATCAGGTGACGGAAAATGCAGCTGAGCGAGTTGTCGTGGGCAAAAAAATGAATATCTGAATCATCAGCAGCAACCATCGCATAATGATATGGACACTTTTCCTTTTTTTGCCACTATTTTTGGTTTTTGGTGAATGGGGAATTGAACAGAAACAGTATCCGCAGCAGTTGATAAACATGTCAGTTGCGGAGTGGCAAGAGGCCGCAGAGTTTGGCCCAGTTTTCGGTTGACCGAAAGTTATGCCACTGAAATATGCGAAATACAAAACATCAATGCATAAGAGTATACCAGTATTGCAGTATATGTACTCGCACATATATGCAAACAGAGATCCGCCAACTGATGACATTATCCTGCCTGCTGGCTGTGCAACAGTTGAGGGGCAGCAATTTATGGATAGACTTAACGCTTCACAGGACAACTCATACTCAAACTGGTCCTCATCCTCGGCCCATTTCAATTGCATGGGAGCAAGCCGGCAAATCCAGCGTAAGGATGTCCCCATCACCATCATCATCATCATCATCTCGTTGACGTTGGCGTCTTTCAATTTCGATAGGAGCTCATGTGCATATTGAACCACCGACCCAGGGACCGTCCGACCACCCCCTCATTCCCCGCTTTCCATATGCGCAAATAAACCGAATCAAGCGAAAATGTAAATAAGAGGCGATGTGAAATAAGGGGAGTGGGGGAGGGGGTCCTCGACAGCATCAAGAACTCAACTCACTCCCATGTCGATGGGAATTTACATAAAATGCAGTCTACAGCTCCACGTCGCCGGAGAATGAGATGGCAATGGGGCAGCTTCATTTTGTGTACGCGTTGCCCAAAAAAGTATGCTACGCTGCGTATAAGCTGAACATGCACTGCGAGAAAAAGCGTATATACTTCCCCATTTTAATAACAACTCATGTTTAAACTCTAAATTTTTAATATAAAGCTGTAAGGTCTTAACATAAAAATATAAAATATTTAAGTTTCCTAAAGTTTCTCCAAGTGTATGTACACTTGGCAGGCGGCGGCGCGTGTTCACATTTCCTTCAGTGTTTGTGTGGGTGCAGTTATTTCTTATTTTGCATAAATGCACCGCAGGCTCTGCTTTCCAGTTGGCTGTCATCGATTGTGCCGAGAACGCAGTGTCTTGTCGAGGACACGCCCCTGCCCCAACCGCCGCCACCCAACCCCCTTGCCTCTTTGGCCCGGCGCTACTGCAGTTGATGGAAATTTATTGAAAAAGTTTCGCTTTTTGGTATTTTTTTTCCACATTTTCGCTTGGCCTTTGTACCGCGTTGGCGGCGCTCGCTTTTTATTTCATGCCCCGCATTGAGTTCAAGTTATTCGGAAAATAGCCAGTGCCGTACAATGGCTGGCGTATGTGCCTGGGTGTATATGCTCGACTTAAACCGGGGAAACCCCCCTTTATACCCTCACACAGACTCTCTCTCTCTGATGCACAGATGGCTTTATACACGAGCCTGTGTTTTCTTTTCTATTTAAATGGAGCACAAGTGAAGTGCGTATCCCCGTAGTCATGCATGTCGTCGCCATCCTTTTACATATTAATTAAAGTACCGCCGGACCAGTGGGCGGAATTTGTGGTCCGAGATTTACAGTGGAAGCCAGGAATATAGCTGTACTTTGATGGTGGCTTATAGTATTCATTAAATTACGATAGAATATTGTTTTATAGTCTCTGCCGGGAATAGAAAATTGAGTTCTCCTAGTATAACATATTGCCAGCTATGCCTGTCACCCTTAATCCTAATATTTCCACCGCTGGTGTACCCTTAAGCCAGCCGTAAACACATGAATTTAATTGAATGCGTTCGTCCTGCAGACGAGGCAATCAGGTGGGCGGTTCGAAGTCAAAGCTGTGGGCGTGGCCAACTGCTAAGCATCCCAATAACGCTGATGGGCGCATTATGGCGATGGTGTGCATCCAGAGCTTCGCTTTTGCTCGCTAATTCATTAGCGCAATGGGGTCAGCCGCAGTTGCATCCTTTGGCAAAGCGCCTTTGCATGTGTCAATCATGGCCGCGCGTCCATCATCGCCACAGACAGCTCTTCGGCGCCCTTCGCCACCCACTCAACAACCCACTGCTACCCATTCAAACAACCGCCCAAGTACCACCCCACCAACGGACACTTCATCAGCTTAAAACAAACCATTTTAGCGGGCAAGAGGTGGTCCACTAGCTTGTTTCCATATCTCTAAAGATCTAGTTTAATGACAAGTTTAAAAAAAAACTTGATATTTGAAAAGTAATTGGTAAAGGGTCTTAAAATAAAATGTATAAATTTCTATAGTGATCAAATTTGAAATCAAATCTTAAGCTCTGACTTAAAAGATTTATCTTAAATCAAAGATCTATTTAGTTTTTATTTTGCATTCAAGACTTAGCTCTGATATTGCTAGTTGGCACCTCTGCTGGTGCTTCATTCTTGGCTGTGGCAACACTTACCGCGTTTCAATAATAAAATGCGTGACGGGCGCATTCCGCGGATGCTGGGAGTGCGCCCAGGATAAATTCACCGAGCGTGATGTGAAACTTATCAACAATGGCCGCTCCGGCGGATCGGGCACATCTGCAGGGAAGAAACGAGAAAAGTGCCAGCTATCAGTGGAATGCAAATGGAAATCATGTCAAGGCGAGGGCGACAACAATGAAAACAAGAGTCTGGCATCGATGCAGAAATAAAGAGCAGCGAAGACATATCGGGAAATGGAATCTGGGGGGCCATGAAGATGTTGGCCAAGTAAACCGGAAAAATCATTAAAGTAGTTAAGCGTTTCATTAAGGCAGCGGGTAAATGAACGTGAAGAGTGCAAATTTCAATGGAATCGATGGAAACTTTCTTGAGAATGGAATTTTAAATGAAATCTTTTGCAGGTAATGAAACCCTTGAGAAGGGGTCAGGATTATAAATATCAACATAAAAAAAAATCAAAAAAATCAAGAGGTTTCCATGACACTCTCTCTTTTATTAATGAATATAAAAAACTCACCCTGGACCAGTAAATCGACAATGGCTTCTGGGATATGCCGATCGTTAACTAGGCATGTGTACTCCGAGGTATCGCTGGCTAACGAGGGCGAAAACTGCAGGCCGAAGTTGTCCGATAAAAGTTGTATCTGCAACGAGATGAGGGAACTTAATTAGAACTCCGTTTGTCTGATCTGAAAATTAAAATCTAGATATTCAAGGCCTGTGACAACGTACAGGACGACCGACATGGGTTTCCACTTTCGGGCAGGGAAAACTTTTAAATAGTCAGAAGACTTACATACATGCATACCTCATATATGTGTGTCTGACCGACCAGACAACAAAAACGAAAACAAATTTGGGAACTCTGTCATCGACCCGGCCTAAAAGTTTTTCCTGTCTCTGGCAAATTTGTTTTGCCCAGAAATGCCGGCTCTTGCTCATAATTGAACTATGTGTCTTTCCTAACTTGAGTAAAAAGCCAGTTGCATTGGCAGTAAATTCATTCCAGATTTGTTTGTTTTTCCATTGTGATTTGCAGAAAATTTGGAAATTGCATGAGCCCGAAAATAATTTGCCAGCAACTGCAAGGCATACCTGCCCGCTGTCTCTACCAGAGAATTGGGCCAAATTTAATAAGGATTTCCATCACAGATTACTGCGATGCAGCAAATGTATTTCTGGTGAATTTATGTTTCCGTTTCGAATGGCAAAACTAAATTATTTCATTCACATGGCCAGCAATCTATCGCAGTAAGATGGAGTGCATCTGGTTTATCTTCGCATGCCTGACCCTGTTATTTACTTTTGTATCTTTTGCCGCTTGCCTGGCCTCAAATTAAAGCCTTGGCTTCCATATGCATATGTGTATGTGTTTCGGTCGATTGCATTCTGCTGAATGGTTCGGTCGACAGGCATTATTAGACAGAGGACGAAAAATATTTGCCAGAAATTTACCATGTGGAATTTTTAATTTCCTATGCGATTTTCCCCAGTAAACTCTAATTACATTCATCGCCCTTTTGGCCTTACATGACCAGAAAATCTAGAGAGAGAAAAAAAAGGAGGGAAGAAAAACAACAGAAACTTGTAGAGGCAAATCCTTCGTCCTTCGGGCAAGTGGATCTCCTTAGTCCGCTTGGCTTGGGCAAACATGAATCATTTCTAGTCTCGGCCATAAAACAAAAGTTAATAGCTCAACAGGGTCCTAGAGCTCTCTCTTTGAGTCTGTGTGTGTGTGTGTGTGTGTGCGAGGGGTCATGTGTCAGCTGTAATAAAATGAAGCAGCTACTGTGCCAAGGTGAAAAACTTTTAATACACATAATAGCCGGGCCAAGAAGCAGCCGCCGCACTTGCAGGAAACTTCGGGCCAAGAAATGCGAACCGAGCTCCGAAGCCGGATTGGGACTAACTTTGGCTGCAGCTCAAGTGTCCCAGTCCGCCATTTAACACATAGCTGGGCTAGCCCTCTCCTGCAGCTCAAGGAGAAGCCTTTCCATGCACTGGGAAGAAATTTACCCTACTCTTTGAGAATCTTCAATAAATTATGGAAAAATATTATTTAAAATTTATGGTTTTTTTCTTTTCAAATCGAAGCAAATCTGAAATCCTTCATATTGGTATATTTAATTTTCTTAAACGAGATTTTCTCACTGTGCAGACATCTCTGGATTCTCCATCATCTTGTTCTCAACGAAAGGGGGCAACTTCATCATTCTGTTTGCGCCGCCTCAATGGCCCCCCGAGTGCGTTTAAGGCCATTGCAATCACTTTTGGCCCGCTCGACTCCTTAGCTGGCCCTCCTTTTTCTGCCATCTGCCAGCCACTTGAACATTTTTTTGCGCCATGTCGCTTTTGTTTTAGTGCAACTATCAAACATTTAAAATATATTAGCCGCGCCGGCTGCACTGCACTTGGGTGACCCCGATCCCCTTGTGCTCCTCCAATGATGGCCACTTAGTTGTCGGGACTTTCGCTGCACTTTCTTGTAGTCATCGCCGCTGTCGACGGCGGATGGCGAAGTTCAAACAGCCGCCCGGCAACCGGCCATCAATTATTTTAACAGCTTCGTTTTTGCACCAGCATAGGGCCCTATATATTAGGGGTGTTCGCCTGTCCAGGGGGAGCAGAGCTCCTTCTAAGTGTCGAAATGAATTCTGATATGACACTGGAGGGCCATTTCTGAGCGAAAATTGCAGGAAGCAGAATAAATCTTGAATCTTTAATGAGCTAATCTTATTTGATAATCGCAGGCAGTAAAAAGTTGCACTTAAAACTTTATTGTTATTTAAAAAAAAATATAAAAAATTTAAAAGCTGACACTTTAATCTTTTTTTTAATTCCGAGGGTTATAATAAATCTGAATTATCTTCTTTAAAAGCTAATATTTCTTATCTAAAATGTAGAAAAATCCTATAACACTTTTCCCAAAGCTTGTTTTTCTCAGTACATACTATATCATTTTACACTCACCCTTGGACTGTGGAGCAGGGGTATCCGATTGGCAAACTGGGCGATTGTCGTCGACGCCGTTTTCCACACGAGCGTGTCCACCAGGGAGTGCTCGTTGACCCCGGGACACGGAATGGTCACGTTCTTGCCCGCCTCGGCATTCACCTTAACGTAGTCCCGATTTGCGACGTCTGCAAGGAATAAATAAAACATTAAGTGTTAACGTCAGCGTGGACAGGTGCAAAAAGTATGAGAGAAGGCTATCCAAAGCCACTCCAAATGGATTAGTTTAATGATTTTATTATATAAATATTGGTTATTAACTTAAGCCAAGAGAGGAAATTTATACGATTTACCATTGATGAATGAAATGAAATTGGTATTTATTCTGTTTTGACTTTAAATGAGGTTTAAACCAGCTTTTGTTTTAAAATCAATGCAAATAAATATTTGTGTTGTTTTGCAAAAACATGAAATATGAAATTAAATAGTTTCCATGATTCAATAATTGTTATTCTCTAACTGTCAATCAGATCTTCAATTTATTAACATTTAATTTGAATTTTCTATATTGGAAATCTTGTTTTGTTTTTAACCCAAAAAGAGAGGAAGATTTACCCACTAGGTAGTAGTAGATTTCTTTCAACATGTACTCGTTGCATGCACCAAGAAGAAGGAAAAGTGGTGAAAGCTTGCCAGAATTTGGGGCATTCCATTGAGAAAGTTGGGGCTGTGAGCGAGCGGCAGCCGCTCATAAAAGAGGAGCTCAAGTTATTTGGAAAGGAATATTTTTGGCACACAAAAGCGAAAAGCAGCCGCAAAATGTTTGGGCAAAATATCTGCAAGGCATTTTAATTACATAACATGTTTACGGAGCAGTGCTCACAGTTTGTGCTTCACTTCCAACCAAGCAGTCTGCTCCTCCCATCGTGCAGCATATATAAAATCCCCATGCACTGTGTGTCAGTTGCCAGTGGTGAAAGCAATTTCATGCTCTAAACTATTTGGTAGGTGGCCCAGCTGCTCAGCTGCCCAGCTGGTCACCTGAGTGCCGAGGTACCGGAGCAAAGGTGGTCGGGCACTACTTCATGCATGCCGGAGCAGATCCTTTCGAGCAATATTTGTTTTGGAAATTGCCAAAAATGCCCTGGCCTTCTCACCGCCCAACGAACGGACGGAGGAGGAGCACCAATTAAAATTATAGAAACAACAAATCGACTGCCCACTGGGCAGTTGGCCAAGAAGCAACTCGGACATAAGCAGCTTTGGCAGCTGAATCTGCATTCGCATCTGCATCTCTATCTGCATCTCCAGTTGCATCTGCATAAATTGCCAAGCGTCCAAGTGTTGGTAATAAGCATTAGGCATGGCATGACATGGCTCCGACGCCGACTCCTGCTCCGTCTCCGTCTCTGGCTCTGACTCCGATCCGATGCCACTTTCAATCAATTGAGAAATCATGCTGAAAACCCAACCGATTCCACTGCCAATGCCAAAGCCAAAAACCCACCATTTAGCCCTGGCATTGGCAGTGGCAGTTGCAACTCAACTGGTTGCCACAACGACTGCATTTCGAGTGGGCTAGCTGGTCATGCACCACCCTCTCCATCGAGCAAATGGGTTTTCGGTTCTCGGTTTTCGGTTTTGATGCACTTTCGGACCCTTTTGCCCCTTGGTACCATTACGAGTTTGGCAAAATGAGTGCTGCCTTTGTTCCCTAAGCCACGATCATCGGAGTATTTATAAATTATCGATTCATTGTCTCTCGAGTTCTGGCACTCTCGCAGCTGAAATTATATTTCAGTTTCGAACGAAGTTGCTGGAATTTTGCATAATTCGAAATACGACATTCGCTGTTGGGTCAGTTTTTGTGTAATTTATGATTTTGGACTGCGGCATGGAAGCCTGAGGACTTTCAATGGCTGCATAGAGAGAAAAGGGAAAAATCTTGAAATAATGAAGGATCCCAAAATATTAATTAAAACCTTTACTGGGCAAGAAAATGCATCTCTCAGAATCTATCAGGTTAGATCTTTTGGTTCTGTAAGTTCCCCCCCTGTTTCTTTCAGTGGCGTAATGGGGGCGTGGGATTTTTGCATATTTCGCCTGCTGCATGCAGATGAGTTGGACTGCCAGGAACAGAGGGCGAATCGCTGTTTAATTTCCTGATGCAATGGCCCCGAGTTCAGGAAACAATTGCACACAATTTATGAGGAGGGCTTTTTTGACGACTGCCCCGAAACCGTTTTCGCAGTAGAAGTTGGCAATTAAGCAGCAAACAGAGCGACATTCAAACTGTCCTAGAGACAGGCAGACATACTCGTACAGCCAGCCAGCCAGCCAGCCAGACAGACAGACAGGCAGACGGGCGCTGTAAATAAATTATAATTATTTTGTGCCATTGAAGCGAGTGCCCAAGGGACTTGGTTTCGACCACAGGAAAATTAGCCAACGACAAAATCGAAATAAGTAGTCGGACCAGAATGGGACCGCCCTTCGGTTTCCGGGTTGGCTTCGCTTTGGATTGAGCTAATAATCAAATTGGATGCAACAACCCCCGACGAGTCGACCGGCAACAATTAATTTTATTTATGTTGATTCTAATCAACGGATGGGCAGACAGTGGGATTTCCACTGCGATTCGCTGGCTGCCATGGCGAAGTATCCGAGCCTTTGAAATCCTAGCGGAAAACTCGCCGGAGCGCATAAAAGATGAAAATATTGAATTCATGGTTCGCTGCTCGCAGCTCGTAGCTCTCATCTTCAACGGAAACATTTTCAACCCCCACCCTTAGTTAAGTGCACTGTAAAATACTTTGATTTAGTATATTAGATATAGTTAAATCACTAAAACAGCAGAACTAGATGGGCCTAACATGGCCTTGATTGATTTTTATTTCATGAAAACTCTTTCCTATATAGAAAGTAGAAGTACACATTCTTTGAAAGATTTCCCCCTGTGTAACAGCAGTACAAATATAACAGCACTTAGCCGCGTCTGATTGTTTGTCCTGGGATCTCGTGAGCTCCTTTGACCCGTTGCCATGTCAATTGTCTGTAAAAACACTCCCCGATGTTGTGGTACATGGCTAAGCTTGGCTGAGGAACTCGACAGAAGTATCTCCCTTATAATATTGCTCCTCTCTGCTGCTCCTCTATATCTGCATCTGCAAACTACTCGAATTTGAGGGATCATTTGCATGCAACTGCATCGATTTGGGGAACATTTAATGCCAGGGAAGCTTGTGAATGGAAAGCCATTTGGCAGTCGGTCGACAGTTAACCCTTTTGGCAACAACTTTGCCGTATTTGGCTTTCAATTTCTGTACATTCCTGTGTGTCATCTCTGCGTGTGTGTGTGTGTGTGTCTGTCTCTGTACGAGAATATCTCGTACATTTTGTGAATGGTCTGTGGAGGCGGTTACGTGCGTGCCACCAACAAGTTGCACTTTCGAGTGCATCTATTTGGAAACCATTGCGATGCATTTTTCCAAACGAAAAGGGGGAAAAATACCAGGCAGCCAGCCACTTGAGCCGCAGACTTGGGCAAACGGCACGGGTTCAAAGGGAGCTTTGAATAAGGATGCTCGCAGTTAACCTGCCCACATTAACCACCCCGGTGCGGTGCATCAATTTCAGGCGGGATTTAAGCCCGGATTGGATGAGTAATTATCCAATTAAAATTGAAGTTTCTGTTGGTTGGGCGGTGGACAACACTTGGCTAGCCGCTCAGCCCAACTCAACTCCCTGGCCGTCGAGTCTCATAACTTGAGGCACGTGGCAAGCGCGTCAGTCAGTCAACTGGCTGAAAAAGGATGTGCCAGGCATATGGGCACTTCAAAAAAAAAGAGGTACGTTCTGGGAATAAGAGCTTAAATTGTTATAAATCGGAAATATTTATATTTTAATATTTTTAAAGGATTTTTGAAGAGGGAAATGTAAATAATTATCAAATAGTTGATATAACTTTCAGGATATCCTTCAAAGATACAACTTTTTAGGTCTAACTTCAAGGGAATTGTTTATTTCTTTTAGGTATTTGTATCATTTATCTAAAAATCATAAATTTCAAAGAGGATTTCTGATTACAGGACGAACTTAAATGGCTTAAGCTCTTGTGACTGGCTAGCCAGTCCCATTGATATTCGTAGTTCAAGGACCTTGAAAAAATGAAATTCGAATTTCCGAAAATCAATTGCAATTCTTTTTGGGACGTGTGGGTGCGTATCTGGGCTGGGCTGCCCATCTATCCGTCTGTCTGTCGTCCTGTCGTCCTGTCTGCTGTTTGTATAGACATTTTCTGTCATCCTGCGATGGCCGCCAACTGCCGACTGCCACAGAAGCTGAGGAATAAATGCGTGTGCAGACATCGACGGGAAGGACATGCGAGCATCATCGTGCTCATGACAACCCAACCACCCACACATACACTTGCACACACAACAGGCAGCCAGACAATATCCCTTTTTTTATGCCTGAACGAAGCAAATAATGAAATTATGACAACCCACCAAGGGGATGGAGAAGCTGAGGGAAGAGGATGCTGGCATATAAGATGGGCACTTCTTGGGATGACGAAAACGAGATAAAAGCTGACAAGTGGCGAATGTGAAATATGATTGAGCAGGGCCACGCCCTGTTCCTCCAGCTCCCCGCCCACGAACACTTAACTTTAACTAGGCAACTTGAAGTGTTTCAGCCTTGGGTAAACATATGTATATGCGATCCAGACGGCAGAGAAGCCCTGTCTGCAAGGCCCCCCCAGGATCAGTCAATAATGCTGACATCAAATTGAAGCCAAGCTGATGGCAACTGTCAGGCAAATGTGTTTCAATTTCGTTAAACTTCGGGCCACAAGATGTGGAGAGGGTTAAGGGTTACGTGTGGGGTTTTATTTTTTCGGGGCGATTTCATATGAGTGGGCGGGTAGTTCGCGGGGCAAAAGGCCCAAGGATTGCGGATTTCGGGTTGCGGGGCAACCGACAGTCAGCGGCCAGCGGTAATCCCTTCCGTTTCATTACACAAATGCGGCTTAAGGGGAAATATATTATAAATACCTACAACAATATGAAAGCCCCATAATAAACGGGCCATATTAAAATGCAAATAAACCAAAGGCAGCAACTCCCACATGCACGGCGAGAAAGTAAACAAAATTGGTCAGCAGTTGGAAATGTACATACCACCTGAT